TTTCCTTGTCTTTTTCTAGTTATGGACATCAGACAGTGCAGGAGAAGAATGTGACGCTGCAGAAGGTGCAGAAAACTAAACTGCACGTGGAGTGTCATTCTCCCTTTCCTTCTCAAGAAACCTTTTTACACGTCTCCATTCCTTATAGCTCCACTTGGATTTCCTATAGCAAAGAAACCCCATCAATGTGTATGGAAATCAGTTGATAGTCTTTTCACACTGCAGCTTTGGGAAAACTCCATTCCTTGATTTGTGTTTGTCCTGGCCTTCCTGGTGTGCGGTTACTGCTGTAGAAAAGTATTAATAGCTTCACTTCATATAAACATAAGTAACTTCCCAACACTTGTGTAGCGGACTAATGTACACCTGGTATTGAGAAATGAATCGGAACCAGTTCCCGCAAGCTGACTGTGTTTTGTATTACAGTAAAGATATGAACATGTAGTTAATTGCAACTAAAGAGTGTTTCACATAGCTTTTTAATTCTCCACCTTCCCTTCTTATTCTGCAGGGTTTCCTTTCAGTAATGGACTTTCACATGCTACTGTGTATTCTTTTTCAGTTGGGATAATGGAAGTGGTGGGCCAGATGGAAAGGTTAGTGTTTCTAGCTAGAGGATTACAAACAGAATTGCTTCCTGTATTAATATGCTGCAGGAGCTACAGTGTGTCTGAAAATGGGCTACTCTTATTCTTCAGTTGCTACTGTTTAAGTTGATATCCCTTTCCAATAAAATTTCACTTACACTCCTGCCTTTGTAGTTCTGGTATTCACTTTACCTATGTACTAGAAACAGCATGTTACTGTCGGAGTACAAGCAATGCTTTTTTGGCAGACTTAAAATGCATGTCATTTCTTAATACACTGGAATGGGAAACCAATTGAAGTTCACATGTCCAAGTATAAAATTTAGTACTTTTCCATGCAGGTTTGTGCACATGTGAGAAGGTGTCAAGTTTGTCCAGTGATTGTCATTTAGAGAGTTGGACCACTATTGTGTGTTTCTAATCATTGATTGATTGTAGTCCCAAAAAAGCCTTGTGAAAATGTTATGCCCTATGTAACAGCAAAGTAACATTAAATAAAATTACATTTTATAAACCATTTACTGTTGATTTGTAACAGTTCTCCATGCATTACTTTTTTTGAGGCTTGGTTTTTGTTTTTTGGGGGGGTTTTTGGTTGTTGGATACAAAAAAAAACCAAGATGCTTATTTTAGGAGAGGCATTATTTTTCTCAAATCTATAATGCATGCTTAAAGCTGGAAGCTGTTCAGATGAACTTGCTTTCAGGTATTTGGATGCAATGCATTAAACTAGAATAGATTTAATCTGAAAGTCTATTCCGGGGCACAGATAATAAAGTGTAGCTGTCTCCCCTTATTGAAGCTACTTGTGCCAATGATTAAATTCTCTTACCACGGTTTCTGTATCATTAAAATTAGCTGCTTTTTTTCTGAGGGATGTTCCACTACTTTCATACCTGTTCTCTGTGCTCTCAACTAAATTTATTCACAACTTTTTAGAACTCTTAAACTTCTTGATGTGTTTAATTTCCCTCCCCATTCCACCTCCCATGCACATTTGTCTTGCAACTGTAGGCATTTTCCTGCAGTAATTTAGATGCATTCTCACCAGAACCTCAATGGAATTTACTATTTTTTCTGCTTTGGAGATGAAGACCTTGCAGCCCACAGCTGCATTGTTCACCTTCCATGTCTTTCTAAATTCTAAGAATGCATGTGTAATGCAAATCTTAATACTGCTGCCTTCCTAGGTTCTGTCAGCTAGCACTTTTCCCAGTCTATAGGTTTATAGGTATTTCTGAACTACCTTTTTGTATTTCTCTCCTAACCTTTTCAGTCTCACATGATGGTAAGCTTTTACACTCTCTCTGCCAGGTCACTAATGTCTATGTTAAAACTGGATGTAGCACCAATCCCTGCAGAATCCCAGCAGCATCTTGCTTCATAAGCTCAATACGCTGCAGCTAACCATTATCCTTTTGTCTAGACTTCCAGTAGGCATAGCATCTGAGCATTCCTATCCCATTTGAAGTCTTACTGTGCAAGACCTACTGATGGATATTATGGATTTCAATAAAATCATAGTTAATTTGACAGCAGCACAAAAAGGTTGCAGTAAGGATATGAAGCAGATGTAACTATGGCTGTTTCATTTGGCATCATTAATCTATCTAAACATCTTTGTTCAAGCTTTTGTTACCTTTTGTTCCATTGTTTTAGTGGCCATAGAAATTAAACTTGCAAGAGGGTAACAGCCTCACCTGATTACTCTGCTTAGAAACTGATATTGAATCTACTTCCATGTCTTTCTCCATTTGGCCCAGCAACATCAGTTTCCTTTTTCCTAGTCTCCAAATATTTTTTTTTTTTATTTGGTTTTTGAATATCTTATTTTACCAGCTCTCATCTTTGGCCTTCACTCTTGATTTTTTTAGAAGTTAATCTCGACTATTAATGGGAGTAATCAGTTTCATACCCTCAAGTATAAAATAGTTTATAGTCTCAAGTCTCTTAGGAAAAGGAAAGTTTTTTTCCTAGTTAAAATACAACCCAGAGTTCATGCATTCAGTAATACTGATGAGAGAGATCTTCCTCACCATATGTTCCCATATAACTGAATAGTGTTCTTGAAGTTTCAGTATAGAGGAGACATTTTGAGAGTGGAAGGAAGTGGCAATGTAGCAGGCCAACTTGGAGTCCTGATCTGAGTCCAATCTGATTGTTTCTTTGTGAAACAAAACAAACGTAAGAGGAGATTTAATTTGTTAGCCTTAATCACAACTGTCTTATGTGGCAAAATCAGTATACTTGAGAGAGAATGTATATGCCATCCTGAACAGGCTTTATTGGGGCTTCACCCTGCAATGCATTGGTTCAGATTCTACTTGGTTAGTTTCTGCAGCAGATGAGCATAATGTTGACAGGTTGGGCCAAAGTGTGGTGGTATATTTTTAACTTGAATCTAGTAGAAAACTAGTTATTACTAAAAAATATTTTGGATTAATATTGTAATAAAAGTATAACTGCAGGCAATGGCAACTGATTCTTATCCAATGCTGTTACTGGCTAATCGCTTCATTTCCAAAGTCTTGTAATTTCTGTGTCCGTGTTGGTTGCATGTGAAGGTCTTGTGAGTAATGATTATTAAAGATGAATTGCAAATGAAACTATATTCTGGGAGGGAGTATTTACTGCTACTTCAGTATAAGATTTATCTTCTGTAGCTATACTGCTTCTGCAAAGGGTTTAATTTTAGTAGAAGATAAAAATATACTCTTGAAAATGTTTGTTTCACTACTTAATGTATTGTATCTTCCTCATTTATCTGACTAGTGTATATTATACTGTAAGCCCTGTGGGGCAGGGTTATTGTAGACTAACTCGGAGTATCTAGCATACTAGTGCATAAATAAATATTTTAAGGCGTCGAGACAATTACCTTTTCCATAGGCTTCCAAAAAATTTGAGCTATTTACCCTGGGTAGTAAATGAGCACTATAAACAAAAGTTTTTAAGGGTTATATTCTATGCCAATATTTCCATTTCTTCTGTATTTTTATTGCAATGGTCTTAGCAGACAGAGTAGGTCACTTCTCAACTTCTCAGAACCATTTTTGAGGAAACCAAATTCAGCAACTTCAAAACTACATGGTACTCCCTTTCAAAACCGTTTGCTATTTTGCATAATGATTAGTATTGTTACTTTATTTCCCCAACAAACCATACACCAAGGCACTGATGTCTTCAAGCCACTCCCACAGAGGAGCAGTGTGCTGTGTCAAACTTGTCACCCTGTGCAATAATAGTTCTGGTTCTGAGATTCTCCAGAGGCTTGTAGAAACATCAGGCCTGGTTCAGTTAACCCTATTTCCCAGATGTGAGCACAGTTAACCCAGCAAGGATACCAGAGGCTTGTAGAGCTCAGTATGCAAGTTCTCTGGTCATTGTATTCTTGGAGATAGTATGGTCCTATTGAAGCTCTGGATACCAAGAGGCCAGGTAAGTCCTGCAACTTGCTACCTTCTTTCTCTACCTGCATTGGCATGTTGGTGTCCTTTTCTGGTTCTCTTTGGTTAATCTTGCTGGTGACTCATTAGCTCTGGCTCTCTTCCATCCATCCATCCAGAAGTACTAAGTGCAGCACATCAGTCTATGCAGCACTATACTTAGCACAGTTGTGCTTTACAATCCAAATGTTCTCAGCTCTATTATTTGACATGAACCTATCAATTTGCAGTCCCAACACTAAGTACAACAAAAATCATCTTCAGGCACTATCCAAAAATGTCCTGTCAGTTCCCTAAAGAAGCCTGTAATACTTTTCACCTACTGGCTCCCTGCCTCTGGCCTCAGTCTCTCTTACCTGGTATGTCTTTTATACATCCATGGGAAGGCAGCTGCCTTTTGCATACCCTCACTGCTCAGGCCACTTGTGGAGACTTCTGTGATTAAGGGCTATTTCTATTAATCCACCCTCCCAGACAGCAGGCCCTCTCTCTCCTGGCCTGTTTCCCTAGCATCAGGTTAGAAGCAGCACTTCCTGGAGCACTGTTCTTCCACCTGTCCCTTTACAGAACCTGGGGGCTCTTGACACTTGTTATCCACACGGTGTACAGTGTGAATTAAGAACAAGCAGGAATCTTATTAGGGGATAAGGCACAACGCTGCATTTATTGGAACAGAAAACATGCAACATGAAAAATACATATTCATTCACTTGTTCATACAAACGAAACAGATAGTTAGACAGTCCTGCAAAGGTTAAGGTGTTAGCAAGTTCTGAAGTCAACTTGGGTCAGTCTGGTGCCTGTCCCAGACTGACCATGAGGGATGGAGTTGGGTCACGTTGGACATGCCCAAAACTTTCTTGCAGATGTACAGACCCAAAGCCTTTTCTTTGTGTTCATTCTTTATAACGATAGCTGCCCATACAGGCCTATGGATTCTGCTGAGTTGGATGGGAAGGTCATCTTCCTTTGTCCTGTTGGCGGACTAGGAGTGGTAGGGCATAATTTGGCCTTATGGTCTGTAATCTTCGGGGAGGGGTCATTGCTGGTAGTCTTCACCCATGAGGGTGAAGGCATGATTTAGTATTTGGTAATCCTTAACTGCTGACTTACAAAACACCTTGACGCAGGAGTAGGGGTCAATATAGTTTACTTAGACTTCAGGAAGGCCTTCGATACAATATTCCACCCCATACTGGTGAACAAGTTAAGAGGCTGTGACTTGGATGGTTACATGGTCGGGTGGGTGGCAAATTGGCTAGAGGGTCATACCCAGAAAGTAGTAGTGGATGGGTTGGTATCGATCTGGAAGGACATGGGTAGCGGGGTCCTGCAGGGCTCGGTCCTTGGACCGAGACTCTTCAATGTCTTCATCAGTGACTTGGACGAGGGAGTGAAGTGTATTCTGTCCAAGTTTGCGGATGATACAAAACTGTGGGGAGAAACGGACACACCAGAGGGCAGGGAACAACTACAGGCAGCCCTGGACAGGTTGGACAAATGGACAGAAAACAATAGTACGATTTAACAAGGAGAAATGCAAAGTGCTGCACCTAGGGAGGAAAAATGTCCAGCACACCTACTGCCTAGGAAATGACCTGCTTGGTAGCACAGAAGTGGGAAGGAGTCTTGGAGTCCTAGTGGACTCCAAGATGAACATGAGTCATCAGTGTGACTAAGTCATCAGAAAAGCTAACTGCACTTCATCGTGCATCAGCAGATGCATGACAAACAGAATCAAGGAGTTGATACTTCCCCTGTATGTGGCACTAGTCAGACTGCAGTTGGAATACTGCATGCAGTTTTGGGTGCCACACTTCAAGAGGGATGTGGATAACCTGGAGAGGGCCCAGAGAAGAGCCACTTGAGACTAGGGCACCTGGACCTCTTCAGCCTCTGCAAGAGAAGGTTGAGAGGTGACCTTGTGGCTGCCTATAAATTCATCACGGGGGCACAGAAGGAATTGGTGAGGCTCTGCTCACCAAGGCGCCCTTGGGGGTCACAAGAAATAATGACCATAAGCTAGCAGACAGATTTAGACTGGACATTAGGAGGAACTTCTTCACAGTTA